CGCAAGCGCGGGCAATTCCACACTCTGATGAGACTACGCCTTCCCTTTTCCCTGTGGGGGGGGGGGCCTGGGTCCAAAAATATCTGTCTGCTTTAACTGTTGAGGATGATGCCTCCCTGACAACGTTGCCTGATTGTGTACGTAGCCCTGATGGCCTAGTTTATTCTGGAGACAAACTATATGTGCCTGTTGCAATGAGGAGGGAGGTGATGGAGTCTGCTCACGGTTCGAAACTAGCAGGGCATTGGAGTTTTGTTAAATCTCTGCAACTCATCCGCAGACAGTTCTGGTGGCCCCAAATGCGCAAAGACCTATTAACATTTGTTCGGTCCTGCCAAACCTGTGCCTTGACTAAACCCAGGATGGGCAAGCCCCCTGGTCTTCTGCAGCCACTCCCTACTCCATCAAGACCTTGGGAAGTGGTGAAAGGATGGTGAAAGGACCGCTGGCAGGACACATGTCTGGGGTTTGTTTGTTTTTTTTAAACCTTTTTTATTAAATACTTTTATTCCACAAAATAGAAAGAGACCATAAGCATCAAAACAGGTAAGATAAACTATATACATTGAATTTGAATGCTATCGCCATGGGAAAAATATTAATGTTAAAGAACACGTTTCTAAGTAATCAGATACAGTGACGTATACAATATATATCTAAAAAGTTAAACATAAGATTGGTAGAGGTCCTTTGGAATCTCCTTTTCAGAAAGACAGTTCGTAATCGGTAACCAGGTCATTTTAAATTTGACCAGAGTTTTGGGAGAGGTCTGTTGGTTTAAATTAAGAGTGCGACTGGCTAGCACATACTGATTCCGGAGTCTTGCGATTTTGTCGGGGCAACTGGGGATTTCCATCGCATGGCTATAGACATCTTGGCTGCTGACAATAAGATTGGAACAATTTCTGCTTTCCAATGAGGTTGATTCTCATCTATGTTTGGTCCCAGAAGAAGGCAATCTGGAGTAACATCTAGGGTGAGTTGTGTGAGCTTCGTGATTACTTCCAAGACTTCGCTCCAGAAGGATTCAAGCACTGGAGAAGTCAACCAGCAATGGATATGTGCCCCTTCCATTCCACAATGTTTCCAACCGTTGGTGCCAATTTGTAGAGTTGTATAAGATAAGGATTTCGGTGGGGTTTTTGTCTATGCAGACGTGAGGGAGTAGCATGCAGCTGAGAGAAGTCAAGAATTCAATGCTCCCCTTAAGCTGTGGAGTCTTGTGAGCA